AGCGTTGGCCCGGGCACCGTGATGCGGCCGCGGGGCTCAGAGGCTCTCCTGCCGTGCATGTTGTGCGATAAAATACCTCCGTTAAAACTATTCCCTACTACTTTATAACCCAGCGGTTATGTAAGAGTAAGTTACTAATGCGCCTATTTGATATTAATTCCTCTATATGTATTTCACCGTTTGTTTTACTGTGAGCAATGAATTATCTTTCTACAATCTTAGTGTACCCAATTTAAACTCATAGTCTGCAGTTACAGCATCGAGTTGTTGTTATACAAAATGAAGTGCAAACTATATTTTTCATGCTTTTGCAACGCTATAGATGCATCTGCATCTGCAGGAGAGAACGTTAGCTCTCTTCAGTTAAGGTGCATTCAGGCGCAATTCAGTAAAAGTGTGTATTGGTCGAGGAGGCATTTATAACGTCAGCAGGATGTGTTCAATGTAGTACAGTAAAATGCAGTCTTTAGCGAGAAATATCAATAAATACAGTTGTATTAAGGAGATGTTTTACTACAACATAAAGTAGATATTAGACAGTATGCAAACGAGATAAAGGAGTGTATATTGAAGTAATTAGGATCTGCTGTGTAGAGAATCATGGAATTGTACTGGTATCTACCAATACCATCCTTAATAAATGCCATCCTTATAAATGTATATAAATACAATACCGTTTTAAATTATACTTATATTTTAATTATGTTTGATTCTATTAATTGAATTAAAGATGTTTTAATGAATTCTACTGAAATGATTGTTACATTGTCATCATGTAACTATTTTGTTCTTTCATTTGCCTCCCCAGAAAACAGTCACACCTCCTCTTGAAGACATTTTGCCTCCTGCTATGGACTTCAGGTTCACATTAGATAAGCCCTTGAGTGTGTCAGAGTTGTTGTTTCAGAGGTTAATTCAAGACGTGTTATGTTTACATACTAATATAATGAGCATCAGGTAAACGTACCCATTTCTATTTTTTGAATCACAGATGGGATGGAGATGTAAACTATGCAGCACTAGTGTCACCACTCAAAGTGATATTTTAAAACATTATCGACTCCATCATGGAACCTTTGGACAGAAACGTGCCTTGCCCTGCATTCATGTAGACTGGCCTGCGCTCTCACTTATCAAGATAAAAGTTGAAATAATCGTCTGTTCTTTTTATTCTAGGACCCATGTGCCACTTTATGTAAATCTCTGAGCATGAGGTGGGGTTAAAAAGAAGTAGTTGGACATGTTATGAACTATATCAATATCATGACTATTTGGTTCATTTTCTTGCAAACCAGCCTTTTTGTTGATGGCTTGAACCCCTTGTAATGCATGTGAATAGCACCTCTGTTACCGTCTGTTAACAGCTAATGTAAACTGGCTCGTTATGTTTTCAAGACGGATTTGATTTTTGTTGTTGAGGAAAACACATGGTGTGTCCTGATTTGTACTCAATTTAGTGTTTTATTTGTATTTACAGGGAACAGCAGAGGTCGAAGTGCACCAGGCTCGTGATGCACAGCATGAAGTGATACGTTGCCCAAGAGCCAGATGCAGTTATAACCATCAAGTAATAACCATGTGTCTCCATGTATGTTAATGAGTTGTGCTTTTAAACAAACTTGTTACTGTTTTATGAAAACTGTTTTGAAATAATCACATTTTAATGAAATGTATTGTATATGTCCATAACGTTCCCTTTTTTAAATCAGTTTAGTCTGCAATGTTTCAATGCTATCAAATATTTAAAGGGTTGGATTGAAATCAGGAAGAGTTTGTCGTATATAGGTTCCGGCAACTCAATTGTGTTTTATAATTTACTTTATTTATTCTTGTCTTATGTGGTTCTTAGCAGATTGTTATTTGCATTGGTTACACTTCATATCTTGGCTTTTAATTGTAGGCTCAACTCGTCTTTTGACATGCAGAAAACAATCACATTAGTGAGTTTACCCAACTCCTATAATTGCTTGGAAACACTCGACACATTCTTTATAAGTTTTAGCAAAGCAACACGTTCTTGAGTAGAGGAAAACTAAAAAAGTACGTTTCACCAACTCAAAAAATGCAAAAGTTGACTAAACTCTTAAAATTGCTTGGAATCACTTGACACATTTATTTTTATTTTTACCAAAGCAACAGTTTTTACAGTGTGGGACTGGCGTAATTTGCTTCACTGAAGTTAATAATGTTGCGTAACTCAACAAAAAAGTTTCCTTGTGATATCATAACGTTGATTCAATTCAATTAACCCCCACTGGACCAAGGAAAACTCACTATAGTTGATTCAGATTAGAAGCTCATCAAAGAAATTAGTGGCACCAATAAATCCTTTGCTTTAGGAAGACAACGATCCAGTCCAGAGATCGCAGCCCCACTTTGATTCATCTTGTTCATTATTAGCCTTAGGGTTTCAACAACTGCTAGCCCTTTTCCCCTTGTACCCCGCAAAAGAAAGAGTCTTGTGTGCTATTAGATTCTTTGTAATTACAAAAGACTCGTGATCTGGGACTGATTATCCCTCAGCCCTGGATATACAGTAAAGAACACAGCGGACTGAAGTTAATTTGAACGTTACCGTGGTGCTATATGTATATTTTCCTCAGCGGGGGAGGACAGGGGCTCTGAGGGTTTGCAGAGCGGCATGTGATTGTGCTTGAACTCGCTCCTAATGAGTCCCTGCAGTCACCTCAGTCAGAGGCTCAGCCCCTTCCTCTCTGTCAGTGAATTCAGCTGTTGCCTTGTTTAACCACAAGATGACCCCCCCTCCCACTCCGGTAACATCCAGCCGCTGTCAGCTAGGGATGCACACGCTATCCCTAACTTGTTCTGGCTACCTCAGCTCACATATGACCCATTTCTCAACTCCCTTGTCCTTGCTTCACTTGCCTTGAGCCACTCAGCCTTATAGCTCCAGCAGCTGCATGTATGGCAGAGCACAGAGTTCAGGCCGGGCTGCACCGCACACACACTCACCTAAAAATGAGGCCAACCAGGCTTTGAGGGGCCATTCCTCTGTAAAATGACTACACTTTGCTTAAGCCATCAGATCCATTTGACCTATGTCTAATGTGGACCAATTAAGGTCTTTACATCAGCGCGACCAACGTGGAGCCGAATATCCCTTAACACCAGTTAAATACATGTCCCTGTGGCTATAATACACCTACACATGCTATCATGGTGTGCTGGGCGATTATGTGCTGATATAAAGCCTGCTGCAAAGTCCTATTGAATGCATTGAGTGAGGTATCTAATGGGCATGGGAATTAATTCCAGGGCAAAGGGGATTAAAGGCTAGAGCAGAGCTGTGCAGAGGGATGGCACTCGCTGGCAGCAGAGGGTACAGAGGGCGGAAAAACACAAATGAAATATGCATGGACCGAATCCTTTTGCTTCTGAATCATATTTTGCGCAATAGTATTGAAATTGGTATTTTGTTTCATCCTGGCAGTTTTATATATTTTTAAATTAGGGTAAAATTAAATCAAGGGCTGCAGAGAAGGAACACGGTCAGAGTAGTACTGTAAAAAATACCTCTGGACAATCAAACAAGATACAGAGTTTTATCAAATCAGGATGTTTCATCTGTCCAAAGCCTTTATCTCTCTTTCTCATTAAACCCCGAGCAGGAGTCGTGTCTCATCCTTTGATCCCACTGATATCATTTTGAGACTCTACCTTGAGGACTGCTTCCCAGACTGCTTGATATGCACCTGTAAACCAACAGATACGAGGCTCCAAGAATACGAGGTGAACCTCCTGGTATCACACACACCTGCACTGTACTGTAGCCATTCTCTAAAAACACTATTCTTGTGAGACAAAACTAACCTAATACTGTAGGTCACTAGGTGGGCTAATCGAGGAAACCTTTGCTCACTCTTATTGTGTTAACCCTATCCCACATTGTTTTATTACTAAACGTGGCATGGGTTTGGGTTTGGAGCACAACCATTAGTTTTGGACACATTTTTAGATCACCTCTATTGTGCAGCTTCACTTATTTGCAATGTATATACCGCTTTATAATTATTATTATTATTACTGGCTGCTATCTCTTAGTTAAACAATTCAACTACTGTAATGAATCTGTAAATACCTGTGCAATATATTATTTTACTTGTACAACTGTTACCTGGCTGCTATGAGACTTCAAACAGGCTACACTTATTTAAAAAGAAATCTGTTGTCCACCTGGATGTGTACTGTTGTAAATTGTAATTTCAATTTGTATCTTTAATATTTGATTGATGCCTCTTTGTCCCTTTACTTTTGCTGTAACAATGTAAATGTCCCCTCTGTGGGACTGAAAAAAAGGTATTCTGATTCTGATGTCACAGTGAAATGAGACAGGAGTCCGTTACAATAGTCCAGGCCTGAGGTAATGAAACAATGTATCGGCTTCTAAGATTGAATACATCTTAAAGGACACTTCAATTAGCTTTTTTTCCTCTTTGGTTTCCTTTTCCTATTTTCTCTCTGTAAGCTTTTGATTTGGGGTTTAACAATATGTCTATTTTCCCTTTTTATAAAAGGAAAATATACCTTTTTACTTTTCCATAAATGTTCTGATGAATGTTCTGAAAATGTTATGTTTATTCAAAACCCAAAACGTTGAAAAGGACAGGACAAAATGTACATGTGTAAAGACTAATGGGATCATTTCAGCCACATGGCTGCTCTCACCTGGGCACGATGAAGAGACTGCTGTGTCGGAGGCTAGGGAGACCTTATAGCAGTGTAAACAGTGTGATGATGAAAAGATGCTGTCTGAACTTGAATGTATATCTTTGATTAGTAATTGCAGAGCTCGTAGGCTGTGTTTAAGTCAGCAGTTTTGTTTGATGTTATGATGATTTCATTTGTCTAACTGGCTAAAATGCTCCTCAGTAGAAAAAAGAAGCTACCCTGAAAACAAAGCTGCTAAATGATATTCAGCTGTGACATGTCCAAAAGCCTAATGCTGACCAAGTGTGTGTGAGATGAACCATCTTTCTTACCAAAATATTCCTCAGACGGTGGGTGGTCCATGTCGAACAGCATCTTCTTGGTCAGGCGCTCCAGCTCATCCTCAGGGTGGGCCATGTGAGCGCTGCCCTGGGGGGTGGGGGGTTTAGCAGAGTTGTGATTTACAAAAGCCAAGCAAGACAATCAAGAACATTTCAGTCGTCTCTACTTATTTCCACCTCACTGATGAATGTCACCTGTGTTTAAAATGTGCGAGGATATCTCGCTTATCAAAAATATGCTCAGGTCGAACTTAAAGATTCACAAAAAGCCTGACTTCAATAAATCAGAATAAGCACTCTCTGAAGGTCAAACAGAACACATTGAGTGTAATTAAAATGCAGTAGATGGGCTTCAGTCTGCCCCCCCCCCCCCCTCTGAGATACCTGACCCTGGCTCAGGCCCCAGTGGTGTGCAGCCCAGAAGGCTGTGCATGTCCTTCTGTGAAATACAAGCATGTGGAAAAACTGTGACCCTGAATAATCCTTGTGTTTTGGAAAAATAATGATAAGGGAAGGAAAAGAGAAGGACAACATTAGAGGGAAACGACTTTTAAGTCGGGTACATTTGGGTGATAGGTCAGGAGATATTTATTCAGTCACACAGAAGAGTTGAGGTGCTGTGGAGGCCTAGTCTGAGAGGATCTGAAGGATGACATAACTCTGTGAAGACGCCACTTCCTTCTTATCATGCAGTCTGTGACATCTGCCTGCTGTGTGTCTGTATGGGGCTGACGTCTTGCTCCTGACATTTTCTGCCAATCATCCGCAGAGCCATAGAATAAAGCCCCCCCCATTCCCCCATGTCCCCCAGCCCTGGCTCACGGCGCAACCCGTCACAGGTGTGTGTCCTTTGCAGACACCCCAGAGGCCTGAACCTGGCTCTCTCCGTGCTGCGCGGCTCAGCGTCTTCAGAAATCAGTGTCACTCCGTTGACCTTCCCTATATCTGCGGCCGACAGGATCTTTACAGTAGATTTGATTTTCAATATTGTGACACGGCCGGATCTGAGCTGACCTTTGTGGTCTTCCTAATTGTGACATCTGGGAGCCGTTAGCGAGCGCTCTCTGCTTTACTGTGTCGCATAAAGCAATCCGATCATCAATAGGAAATTGAGTGAAGAAATGTTTTTGTGTTGCCTGAAAGAGTAATTACTCCCGGCATTATTGATGACTGCATTTACATGCAACAGTATAATAATAAAAGCAATAACAAATGTGTTAACTTTTTTTTTAAACCAAAGTTACAAAGTGCTTCACATATAGGCTTACATGCAAACATAGAAATATAAGAATACAGGCAGAAGCAGGATTTATAACAAGAGCAGAGAGAGGACAGCTTCTTCTGTTCTCATGCAGCGCCTTGCATGCCATATAGATCCTACAGCTTAAGGCAAGTCAAACTGTTTAAGACTTTATTGATTCCACTCGGAATAAAACGTATAAAACTTTACGATAACCAACATTTAAGGAACAGTTTAGTTCAAATGTTATGTAACACTCAACATTTCCGCCATGTCGCTGCTTGCTGTCAGACGGTTTATCTCCAAACAACAAACACCATCTGAGTGTCGCTGGATCCGCTAACCTCATCTGCAGGAAAATCATGCCAATCAATCAATAATAAAAAAACATAGATGGTATTATTTCGTTTTGCAAGGTTAGAAAAAAAACGATTTTAGAAAACTCTTTCTTAGCAAGACTTTTCAAAGATATATGTGAGACATTTTAATATCAATTAAGGCCTTAGTATTCAATGTATGAAGGTTTGCAGTAGGAGATTTCTGCGTATAGGTTGATTTGTGCAATGTTTCCCAGCTGAAAGAAACAATACTGAATATCTATGAATTTCAAGCTGAAATGATACGGAGATTATTAAAAGGCCGTCTTGATGTTACATGGCACAGGTCAGTCACCACCTGAGTATATGACTGACCTCCTTAGTAAACCAATCTGATCATGAGGAAGGATTGGAAAGGAAAGAGTGTGAAGTTGGTGTAATCTTAACAATACATGAACAGTGGTAAGGCAAATATACAGCAGGTTTCTGATGGAGTTTATTTCCAGAGACAAGGAGAGAGGCTGAGCTCTGATCACTGTGTATCATGAGAGAAGTTTGTGATGCATGACGTTTGGCTGATAATGGAAACCCAAACAGAAGGCCTCATTAACCCTGAGGGATCGACACTTTCAACGTGCAAATCTTTCTGCCACACTGAAATCAGCTGCACCGAGAGTCTCAGCCGATTAAACATGAAGAGGCAGGACCAGGAGGATCAGGACCAGATACAAGCATTCAGTGAATGGATATTGTCGCCTCAGATTACATGGCTTTTTTTAACTGAACTAATACACAATGGTCAATAGAGGGGATTTATTCTAATACAAGAACCTGAAGAAAAGACAAGTCTGTATAATGTTCACAGACTTTAAAGAGGCGCTCTTGTTGTCAACAACCTGCTCATTATTCCCGTGTTGTTACTTTGAGACAGTGAAGAGGACGATTTAACACTGTTAATCTTTGCTCCACATCAAAAGCAAATTGAAGAGGGAACGAAATGCTGCTATTACCAGAAACAGACTTTTGAGTTTAAGCTTCATTTATAGCTTATCCACTCTTTGACACCCCGCAGCAATGCACTGCCAGAGAGTTTAAAGCACCTTGTTAGGGAGTCTTTTGTGACAGCACGGAATAATCTTTCACTTGAATAAGAGAAAGAAATTGCTTCCCTGCATGCTTTATGATTGCTTCGCAGTTCCTGTTCATCTTTTCAGCGGCAACAATAGAAACCATACAGCAGCTATACGTGCTGCTGCAGACACGATTTTTCAGTTACGTCTGGCTCTGCTCAGTAAATTGTTTTCCTACGCCCTCAGGACACTCAGCTGCTATTTCATTGAAGTTAGTACTTAAATTCAGTGTCGGCCGGGTTAAGAGCTGCACCTATTTTCCACTGTTTCCTCAGTATGACGGGCTTAGAGTTCCAGGTCATCTGCCATCTGCTTTATAATGGCACATTGGTTGTAATACTCCTTGAAGGCATCCCGATAGACCATCAAATGCCAGCCTTGACAAAACTGTGGTTAAATGCCAGACCACTCACAATCAGAAACAACTACAGCGTGTGTTGTGCAGCCTGATGCAGCCTGATGCAGCCTGATGCAGCCTGATGCAGCCTGATGCAGCCTGATGCAGCCTGATGCAGCCTGATGCAGCCTGATGCAGCTTGATGCAGCCTGATGCAGCTTGATGCAGCCTGATGCAGCCTGACAGAGAGTGGGAGCTGATCACTGCCCACTGCCACATCCAGCAATACAGCTGGGTGCCCCACCCACTGTGGAATTGGCATTGTGTCAGAACTGATTAAGTGAGAGGTGGAGTGGGGGGGCTGGATGCACGCTCTCACCTGACAGCACAGTTTCCCGCTAAGAACAAACCTCCGGCCCTGAGTTTTCCCTGAGTGAATGAGAGAGACAACTGCTCTCCTCACATCTACACCTCTGCTGTGGAGCTGCAACACAACATGGAGCTGTCTGCATACCACCAACTGGGATTAGAGCTGTAGGATCAATCACAGCCAAGCTCTGCTTGTGGCAACATAAAAGTTATTTATCAAAAAAAACATTTTTGCTGAGACCAAAAAACACTTAGCATGTTGAAAACAGGAACATGTCATGACTCATTTAGCTCGTTCACACCGGAGTACTTTTCCCACAATAGTTAATCAGAACTACGATATATTTGCGTTCACACCAAAAAGCCCCAGGAACTAAATTAGTTCAAATCTGACCCGCTTTTCAGTCCCTGCTAGAGAGCAGGGACAAACGTGGGAGAAAATAGTTCGTACGTCTGATTGGCTGTGCGGAATGCAAACCACGCCCGTTTGACTCTGAATTTTTTTTTTTAAGCGGCCATTGTATTTGCTTGCTTCGGGCAGCGCACCCGAAGAGATTACTTTTGTGAAAGCAGTTATTATAGCAAAACTAAATAAATCATCGGAGCGGTGGAGTGATGAGGATGTGTCTGCGCTTCTGGCGATTTACTCGGAGGACGCGAAGCGCCGCATTCAGAAGCTTCTACTGAATGCAGTTTCCGTGGCTCAGCAAAGTTAGCAGACCTGGCAAAGTCATGTCGGGACGACTACGAAGGTAAAATAAAATACATGCACTGCACTGTTTTAATCTGCACAATACTGGTCTTAGATATACTTTTATTTGCTCAGTAGATCGAGCTAGCCATGCTAGAACTGGCTATCATAGCTCCAAGCTGGCTAACAACATCTAGCTAGCTAGCTTGAATAAGTGTGCAATGTTCTGTAATTTGCTTCACTAACTCATGGCACTAATCGTGTGTTTCAGGCGAGGTGTTTCTCTCTGGATTGGAAACTAGTTAGCTTTCCACTCCGGGATAAATGCTAATATAACGTTAGCAATTAGCATGCTAGCTGGACATAATGCCTCTAACAATACATTGTAGTTGCTATAATTTCATGTGTCATTTGCAACATTCATTCTACATGTTAATGGTAAAAGCTTAAACAGTTGATTACCTGCATGCCACAAAGACTGATGTTCTAATATTTTTGCACATTTAAGTAAAAATGTAATTGAAATTCAATTTATTTTTCCTTTTTTTTATTGATTGTTATAATTGTACTCAGCCATGTTATGTTAGATGTCAATCCACTTACACTGTAACTACTCTGGCCTTGAAAGAAGGTTACACATCTAACTGATGTCCACTAATCCCTATAAAACAAAGTTCAAGCATACATTAAGCACAAAACAATAAATAAGGGCACTTTGATATTTATTTTTTATTTGATATTATTTTATCCTATCTTATCTTCTACTTTACACCTGCATTTTGTACACTGTCCCTGCCTGCACCATGTCCAATGTTGTCTCTGTTGACAACCTACTAGGTGATTAAACTGATCTTGTATCTTGCTTATTTCTCCTTAGGAAAGCGGGCACGGGATGACAGCTTCCTTGACACCATCATGGCGATGGACCGCCGTGCCATGGTCAGCAAGGAGAATGAGGACCTGCGTGACAAGGAGATGCACGACGAACGGCTGCTGCATTCACA